TATGTGCAGATGCCACGGACCGAATTGTTTGGAAAATTACTTCGGATGGTGACTTTACCACCAAATCAGCATGGCACCTAGTCTATTCGGGTCGCCAGCCTCAGGACTCATATCGACTGCTGTGGAGCTCGATTTTGCCTGTCACTATTTCATTCTTCTGCTGGAGACTATGGCAGGATCTCATACCAGTAGATGTTGTTATTCAGAGGAGAATTGGATGTCAGTTGGCTTCTCGTTGTCAGTGTTGTTCCGAGATTGAGACCATCAATCATATTTTCACGAGCAGCAGCATCTCCGACCAGGTATGGCAGCACTTTGGAGACATCTTTCAGATACCTATGACTTCAGGAGAGGGGGTCAGACAGAGGTTCCAGAGATGGCGGTATTCTGGACAACATGTTTGTCGTGGACACATTCGTATTATCATTCCTCTATTGGTATTTTGGTTTCTATGGACTGAGAGGAATGATGTGAAGCATAGAGGTATTCATATGGTGGCCAGACGTATTATTTGGAGAGTCTACCGCATGATCTCCTTCCTTCATATGGGAGGACTATTCCGAGTTGAGCATTGGCGAGGAGATGTGACACTTGCATCCTTTTTTGGAATTTCTTTGACCCGTCCTCTCCCACCACCACCTATTATGGTTGTTTGGCTCACTCCACCTATTGGATCCTACAAGATCAATACTGATGGATGCGTCAAAGATGGATTTGCAAGTGGTGGAGGCATCATTAGGGACCACGCAGGATACTGTATCAGGGCATTCTCAGCATCGTATGGCCCATGTTTCATTTTGGAGGCTGAGCTAAGAGCCATATTAGATGGGCTTCTATTGGCCAGAGGACTTGGAATATCAACTATTTGGATTGAGGTAGATTCAATGCTGGCCATTCACTGCATCACCAAAGGTGGAGGACCATGGACGATTCAGGGTATTCTAAGACAGATCAGAGACGTCATTCGCCTTGACAGAGACACAGTTTCTCATATCTACAGAGAAGGTAACCAGGTTGCAGATTCTCTTGCTTCAGAGGGTTGGGATCACCAGCATTACCAAGAATATGGACCACTTGACCTGCCCCGACAAATTAGGGCATTGGTGCAGATCGACAGATATGGATTGCCCAGCTTTAGAGGTTCGTAGTTTAGGCAATCATTTTTTCATTTTTCTTGTACAAGGGAGTAGTACTTCCTCATTTACTTTGTTCATTTATAATTTTTCATTTGTTGCAATGTTGCTTTTTGGAGGTCAGGTTTATGCCCCCTCCTTTCCTGTACTCTTGATTTTTATGAAATAAACATGGTTGGGGAACCCTTAACCCCCATCGACCTTCCTTGGTGGACCCTAAAAAGTCATTAAGGATGTGTGGATGTCTTTATTAAAAAAAAAACCCTAAACCCTAAACCCTAAACCCCAAAACCCAAAACCCTAAACCCCAAAACCCAAAACCCTAAACCCTAAATCCCTAACCCCTAAACCCTAAACCCCTAACCCCTAAACCGTGAGAGCTTAGAACCTCAACCAGAGATAACCTTGATTGATATCTTCTCTCTAGAATGGGAGAAAACTTTCAAAACTCCAACAAACTTGATCCACCACCAAAACCACCGGATTGCAGCACTCTAAGTGGTGGAAAATCATCACCAACAACCACCCAAACATCTCCTATAACACCAATATCAGATTCATCCCTCAACTCAATAGATCTGAGTTTGAAAAATCATGGCGCGAATCCCAAGGTCATCGAAACACCCACTTCTGATCAGAATTTGGATATGGGACCATCACCAATGATTCCAGAAGGGCCGAAAACCCTGGGGGTGGTAGAGATTTTGTCCAAATCGCCCGAAATTGATAGATCGAATCCCGAGGGGCCGAAAACTGATTTTTCAATTAACCCTTCCACAGAGCTCAAACAGGGACACGCGCCTGACCATCAGATTACCCATGAAAAGGCGAACCTTCGACTAAAAAATCATCCAATTCCGACATTGGACGCGGCCTTACCGGCGATCGCAAGTTCCGGCCAGTCACTCGGAAAATCACAGATTTCGGCCAATCCTGAACTCATTTTGGGAAACGGAACATACCGTGATGATCAGCATGAAATTCCACATCTTCCTATGAAAAATCATAATTTTCTGACACCATTGGAAAATCGCCGCCGGTCAATGGCCGGCGCGTGGTGGTCACGCGCCGGTGACACTTCACCAGAATGTGGGGAATTTTGTTACGGACCCAATCCCATCGTCGATTTTTCCACATGAGGCCCAGACAGTGCTCAATCAGGGCCGAAAGACCTATGCTACTGCAGTTTCTGGCCGTCCTGGCCTGTCT